CTCTTCCAGGCGTTTTACCCTCTTGCAGGTACTCTGTAACTCCTCACTGAGGGAAGATTCTATCTTCTCAAGTTGCGCTATAATTTTGTCAGCACCAGCACTCTGGCTGTTGGAAGTATCTTCAGATGTAGCCATCATATAACTGTAAGTTGTGAAGTTCGTTTTCTTTGGAGTTAGAAAAAAGGCCAACGTGATCTTACCGGGTCAGGGATTATATAGGAAGTAAGAGCCCCAACCATAGGTGGAACAAGTTACAGTAAACTTTCTGAAATTTAGAAAAATAGGCAAAACACAATTGATATGTGAGACTAAGCCTTCTGAAATATAACTTGTATTTACCATGTCTCAATTGTAATGGCAAATTACCTTATTCTGAGGGTGATGTATCAAGGTGTTTATCTAGTCTTGCCCCGCCCCTTCACTACCTAAGGAGGAAGGGCCTGGAGACACTGCTAGTCTTAACTTGTGATGCAAAAAAATGACATCACAATGCCCACGTGTTTTCAGCGTGTGATAATCATGTGAAGGTTGCCAGGCAGTGTTTTACTGACGTGTACAGGCGTGCTTCTTGCTGTATTTCAGTCTCCCTTCTGTCAGGCTACTTTCTGTCATGAGAAGTCATAATGGACTGCCTCTGTTGTGGAAGTGTTGTCCTTCCTAGTAAAAGAAAAGTAAGACGAAAGAATGAAATAATGACTACTTTGGAGACCAAATATGCCCTATCTCACAGTGGCCTTGAAGACCTAGAAAAAATGGATAAATGGAGTTGTCTGCAGAGGAAAGTGTTCACGATTGCTGGCTAAATATGTGACATTGAAGAAAGATTATTTTTCCACTGAAAGGAAAATTATTGACATTTTTGGAGATCTTGTGGTTAAAAATGGATTCGGATCAATTACTGGTGATGGCATTGCAGATAATACCACTCATATTTTTGTTACTAGTCATGGCACTCCTAGTAGGAGTACCACTGCATCTCCTGCTCGCATTGCACATAAGCAGTTGCAATACACACCTAAAAACGAAGTACCAAGACTGTAGGAGTAAGTTAGATCACAGATATACAAAATTATATGCATGCATTTATTTCTGAAGGTATTGACTATTCATTAAAGGGTAACTGAAATGGTTTTTTGAGGTATTTATTTTACTGGCTTAATATGATTGCCTGAACTTTTTAATGAAGAATGACAACTCCCATTGTTCAAAAAAATGATTCACTGAGATATGAGCTTTCAAAAATGCCCTTTTTGCTTCCTGCCATTTTACTTCCTGTCGGTGGGTGTGGCTAAACGTGACGTCATTTGGGGCAGACTGGTGATTAATCCATTCCTTTATAGGGGGAAATAATCC